AATTTTCATTTTAATTACAATTCATTCAATCTGTTGAAAGATCAGTTATTAATACTTATCTTACTTCAGACTGCTTTAATGTTCATTCCTAGGTAAATATCAAAAGCTGTTTTTATCAGAACACTGTAAGAATTATTTTTCAGGCAGTCTTTCTGAATTTAATTTAGTTCACTCATATTTAGACTTTAAATCAAATCAAAACCCTAACAGATTAGGATGAATTTAAGCTTTAAAGTAAGGGAGATAAAAATGTTTTACTTGACTATTTTGTGGCTCTGAATCTGTTTCTCATTTCAGACTTGCTCCTGACCTGAGCTGTGTGTTTCTCTGTAATGCCATGAGAAGTTTCAAAACAAGTATTAATTCCATTGAATATGTATAACAGTGACTGAATTTTCAGAATAAAAAAAACAAACCATCCACACTCAACAAAACCCACATAACAAAACATCAACCCCATAAGACTCATTGTCTCCAAAAAGGTGATATATCTATCTATATCATCACACTTTATCCAATAGAAAATGTAATTCCAGATACATTTTGATGATCAATTGTCCTCAAATTGCCTATGAGTTTACTTCTCCTATGTCCCACATTTAACAGACAGAAACACATTGCCTTTTAGCAATGAGAAATCATCCAGAATTGACTAAAAAGAAACCTTGACAATACTTCAAAATTTGAAATAAGTACAATTTCCAAGTAAATACTGTATTTCTTAATTTCCCACATGCTGTTTAAAACTGAGACAGCTCAAGTACTGTAGAGGCAACAATCTACACATGAAAACTGTGAAATGGAAGATGTACAAGTCCATAATCCAGAAACAACTAATGGGAGTCAAAACACTGAATTTAAGGGATAATATGAAAACCTAGGAAACTTTTACCAATTAGGAAATTAAAAAACCGCAAACTGTAGGGAAGTACTTGAAAAGTGTTGTTTAGGCCACACAGTATTTTAAGGTCTTTACAGAAGAATACTTGGAAGTCACTAGATTTTTTACACCCTGGAGTCTAGTCACCCATGCAAATGTACTGCTGTGAAATTTTTAGGAAACTGAGGCTGTTCACAGCAGTACCCAGCAGTGAAGTACACCTGGAAGTAACTGCTAAACATCAATACATCTCTCTTGCACAAACTCATGCCCAAATGTGTGAGTTCACAGTCTCTCAAAAAAGCAAAACAAACACCCTAGAAGACTGCACAGCTCAGGCACATAAAATAACTTCCCAAACAAAACTACTACGGATTTTGAAATTTAAAACATTTCTAAGTAATTCTTTCAGAAAAGTGAAAAAAAAAAAAATTCACAATTGTCAGAATTTCTCTCTTCTGAGCATTTTACCAGTGCACCAAAAAGTCCATCCATATGAGACCCATTATATCAGCTTGCCAACAAGGTCTATACAACTTATGTTTCTATAACATTCTTTCACAATGCTTCATACATGAGAGATTATAAGCAAAGTAGCATTGCTTAATTTCACATTTAAGATGACTATTCAGAAGTCTTAGCTGTTCTTTGTGGTTTCTATTCTTAATACTTTTTAAGAAATCTAACTTTTAAAATAATTTATAGTTACAAGATGGTAAACAATACAAGGGATATTAATCAACTGATACTTATTACCACATTACACAACTACTTTACTAAAGTTTTTTTCAAAAATTTGTAAGCAAAAGTCACTATTAAAAATATGAGAAAAATATTATATACTATATATTATATATACATACTATCTATAGAATAGATTTGCTATTGGTTTATAGAATATCTTACTCTTATGTCTCTGGTTTTTTTTATGTTCTAACTTTCTGTTTTAAAGATAAATCGTTCTAGCCTCTAATCCTTATAAAGCAAGGGCCATGTTCTCCTACTTAGCTGTAGGGGAATTGTAGAACTCGACAGGTTTCTCTGGGCACAACTGAAATATAAACAAAACAGTGACAAACATTGAACCTTCGCCTGTGTGACACGTCAGACTTAGATCACACCAGTGGCAAAACAACCTCTGTACGACAACTCTACAGTTTTATGGAACCGGTGTAAAAGCAGCTAATTAACTGAGGGTTTAGATAAACTAAGCAAACAGAGAGGAAAAAGAGTGTTGAGTGCTTTCATTCCGGAGCAACATAACACTTCGCGGAATTCATAAACCTCTAAACAATAAGCTTAAAACAGGCTCACACCTGCTATTAGAACCTGGGAATGTATTTGTGTATTCCCCAGACCCTGAGACCACAAGAGCGGAACAAACACAAAAACAAAAGCAGCAAATCCAGCGGCATTCGCGAAAGGCACCAAGCCGCCAGCAGCTCCCTCCGGGCCGGTGCGCGCAGAGCAGGCCCCGCCGCCGTCGGTCCGGAGGCGACCGGCGGCCGGAGGAAGAGCTCCCTCGCGGAACCAGGCCCGTCCCGAGCCCCCCTTACCGCCCACTTCCTCCGCGCCTTCCAGAAGGATGTCCTTGGTGAAACTAGAGATCTGCCCGGTGAGCGACGACAGGCTGTCGCCCACCTGCCCCAGGGACTGGCCCAGCCCCGAGCCCAGCCCGCCCAGCCACGACGCCATCGCGGTTCGGAGGGCTCCGGGCCTCGCTCGGCCGTGCCGGGAGGCCGCTGCAGCCTGTTCGCGCGGGCCAAGGGGCCGCCTCCGCCTCCCTTCTCGCTACAGCGGGTCGCGGCTCCTGCTGCGGGCTCAGCACAGCGGGCTCGGCGGCTCCTGCTGCGGGCTCAGCACACCGGGCTCGGCGACTCCTCCGCCAAAGCCTCGCGCATCCTCCCGGCTCCTCCGGCTCAGCCGCTCCTCCCGGCTTGTCTTGTCCCGTCCTGGCTCAGCGACTCCTCCCGGCGGCTCCGGCCGCTGCCACCTCAACGGCCGCCATGACACCGCTCCCAAACACCATAGAGCGCGGCCGCCCGGGCTAGAGCGCCGCCTGGGAGGCGGATGTGGCGTGTCGGCGGAAGCAGAGGATGCCGGGATGGTGGCGGAGCAGCAGGCGGGGCGCGGAGGGCGGCGTGGAGCCCCGCGTGATGATGGGGGGCTCGCCCGCCGGGATGGACCTGGGCCACTAGCAAAACAGTGTGCTGTGCACGAGATTAGACGCGATTAATGTTTGAAAATATGTTCTCAAAAACCACACAAGATCCTGAAGCCCCGGCTGCTGTGGAGTACATGGAGGATGTACGTTTGGACGGGGAAGAGGTGACTGAGGGGACCTAATCGACGTCTATCAGAATCTTAAGGAGAGGTGCCAAGAGGCTGGGTCCGGGCTCTTCCGCTGGTGCCCAGCAGTAGGACAAGATTTCTGCAACGGTCAGGAACTGATGCACAGCAAGGTCCACCTGAATATCAGGAAAAACTACACTGTGCAGTGACTGCACGCTGGAACAGATTGCCTAGAGAGGCTGTGGAGTGTCCCTCCCTGGAGATACTCAGGAATCATCTGAATACTGGGATCACCCTACTTGAGCACGGAGGTTGGACCAGATGATCCACTGTGGTCCCTTCCAACCTGACCCATTCTGTGAGTCTCGGTTGTATTTCCAGCCAGAACCCCAAAACTGCTTCAGTTCAAAGTTCCCTTTGTTTTCTGATCAAGTGAGGTATTTAAACTTGGGACTACAAGGAGTTACAGAAAAAAGTTTTGTATCAGTCAGAATGACACCATTATAAAAAAATGCAGATACTGGAAATAAAATACAGGGCAGCTGGCTCTTTAACCATTTCAAATTGATAGCTACATAAAAAGATGCATAATTAAAGCATCACATCAACAGCAAAATGAAGCTGAGAAGAGCAGGTGGAATCTTAGATTTCTTAGAAGTCTGGGAATGCAGCAGGTACAAAACACAGGTTCTAGAGTTTTAAGTGGGCAAACATTACCAGACAGACATGGAACAACCTGCTTGTTGTTTCCCAAACAGGATCTTACAGAGTCCTGGTGAAGGGTTCATGGCTGGCCTGCAATAATGTATTACCTATTAGCTTGAATAGCCTCTGTCACTCACAGGCAACTCTAAGGCTGGGCATGGTATGTGGTCCAGGAATTTAGAAGTTAAAAATTCTTTAATTCTCTAATAAAAAATTGTTTTACCTCGTCTTCACTGAACAGTTTTTCTATCAGGTTGGTAACTGATTTTACCAGTATATTAATTTAATGGTATACTTGTCACCCTTATGATTATCCACAATAAAACCAATCATACCCCACTTCAAATCCATTTCTGGCTTTTAAAAAAAAAAAAAGTAAGTATCAGAATTGTACGAAGTACAAGTGCTGTGACAGCATGGAATGTAGACATGTACCTTTATCAGATTTACTAATTTGCAATATTGAGTTTAATGGAGATGAAAAGTTTACAATGGTCAAAAGACCCCTTATCATTGGTTTAACAAAACTTGTATGGGTCCTCATGACAGTAAAGATGTGTCATTTAGTGTTTGGCTAAATAAATTTTATGGGAAATTCTCTTGGCATTTTTTCAACTAAGATCATGGATGTCCTGCACACATATAAAATATTAAGGGATGATAAAAATGTGGTTAATTTTATAATGCCAAGTAAGGCATATAGTCAATAAAGCAGCACAGAAAACTTTTTGTACTGCTCTTTTTATTTACTACTCTTGCAAAACTAGAAACTCTTTAGCGTAACAATATCATCCATTGTTAATTAGGGGCACTCTGTGCCATCCAGTATACTCTGTATTGACTAAGCTACAAGAGCAATGCATTGTGTCACAAAAAGAATGAGTATTCTAAAGAATGAGTATT